AACCTCCCTAACTAACCCTTACTGAGCCTCTCTAACCTCCTAACTAATCCTTACTGAGTCTCTCTAACCTCCCTAACTAATCCTTACTGAGTCCCTCTAACCTCCCTAACTAACCTTTACTGAGTCTCCGTAACCTCCCTAACTAACCCTTACTGAGTCTCTCCAACCTCCCTAACTAACCCTTACTGAGCCTCTCTAACCTCCCTTAACCAACCCTTACTGAGCCTCTCTAACCTCCTAACTAACCCTTACTGAGTCTCTCTAACCTCCTAACTAACCTTTACTGAGTCTCTGTAACCTCCCTAACTAACCCTTACTGAGCCTCTCTAACCTCCCTAACTAACCCTTACTGAGTCTCTCTAACCTCCCTAACTAACCCTTACTGACCCTCTCTAACCTCTCTAACTAACTTTTACTGAGTCTCTCTAACCTCCCTAACTAACCCTTACTGAGCCTCTCTAACCTCCCTAACTATAACCTCACTAACACATACTGCTCTTTAACCTGGCTGGTCTATCAAGTGGTCAATGACTAGTAGTTACTCTGTTTACTGGCACCAGTGTTGTCGGAGCAGTGTGAACGCACTTCCGCGGTGCCCACTCCCGCTGTGTCTGACCCACGCTGTCAGTCCATGCCTCCCCCCTTACCTGAGGGAACTTCACACCGTACCCGGACTTTTTCTCCTTTCCTCTTTCAGCTGTCCACGTCGAACAGGAGCCACTTGTTTCCGGTGCAGCTGAGGCTGAGTGGGGACCATAGGTTTATCGACAATCCAAGCACCATCTCAGGTTCTCACTGACCACTGCCTTCGTGATTGCTAGTCGGTGCGGGGTGGGGAGTGGGGTGGTGGTGTCGGGGGAAGGAGTTGTAGTGTTGACACAGGGGAGTGGCACGGGGGATGGGGACTGCCTTGCTGGGTTCTAGCTGCACATGGTGAGCACTAACTGCCCTCCCTTATTTACCTACCCTGAGACCACGCTTCAAGAGTAAGGGGCATTTGAGGTAGAGCTTGAGCTGTAGTCAGTACCAGCCTACTAGGGCTGTGTGGACCAATTGAGAAGGATCCTTTGGACTTATCGATCCTCCAGTGTTGATCGACCAGGGTTGCAAGGGCTGGGGGGGTGGTATGATTTGACTGGGCCTGGTAGGTCACCATGACGAAACCTCCAGGAATGGATCCCTATCAGAGTTTGCGCCTTCACCCAGCGCCAGGTTGGAGACAACGTGGTTAGGGACTCCGATGTGCAATGGAGTGAAGGGTGGGATACGTCTGACATATTCCACCCTCCCCCACCCCCATCAGGTGGGCTTTGGGTGTTATAATGTAGGGAATGGCACAACTCTCCACCTGCCCATTTGGCTGTGAGTTCACCCCCCACCCCCCGCCAAACCTGGAAGAGGTGCCAGGAACCAATGTTGGCAGCACCCATTGCCCCATACCACCTGGAACCAGATAAGGGAGGGTCTGTTCAACTGGGTAGAAGCTCTGTTGGTTCCAACATGGACAGTTGGTCGGGACAGCTGTGTCAAAACTGGGCACAGGTCATGGGACTACTATCCTTGGCACCAAAGAGAAGGTACCAGCCTTTGTCCTTTCCAACCTCACTCCCATCAGAGCCCACCTCTGCCTGGATTTGCTCTGTCTCTTTATTGCCAAAGGACCTCGGCCCAAAATGCCCCCCATCATAGCCCCTCAAATTACTCTGGATCCATGGCACCTCATGTATGGCTCTGCCCTCAAGACGCAGCTGCTCCCATTGCGAAGCACCAGCCCTAGGGAGGTCTGATTGATGGTTTTGACAGGGTGTTGATCAGACTGGGCATCGCCAATCCTGTGCTGCTGTGATGGGTACACATTGTGTGGGGAAGCCTGACCCACATACAGCCCAACCAGAACCTGGAGCACGGACCACTAGGGCCTCTGGCTGGAGGGCACCAGGCCAAGGCTCTGAGACTGGCTGCAGAGCCTGGGAGAGTGAGCACACCAGCAGCTCCTTCCGTTGGTCAGCATCCAGTCGCTGGGACCTCAGCTCCTCACATTCCAGAGGGTAGCAGCAGCAGAGGCTCCCTTCAAGGGAGATGGGAAGTAGCAATCACCAATCAAACCCAGCCAAACAGCACAACACCACAGTCAGCACAGAACACCTGCAACCTCCTGCCCTTAATGTCACTAGGAATGAATGCAGTTAAAACTATCATAGACACACAAAGTGACAGTCAAGGTGGGATTGGCAAAGAATCTCATCTAGAAAGAGCTACAGTTTTGACATGCTGTCCAACGCCATGCTGTCCTGTCCTGGAAGCGTTTGAGGCCGACAGTGTAGAGTAAGCTTCACTCTGTATCTAACCACTTGCTGTCCCTCTCCTGGGAGTAGTTGTTGGGGACACTGTTGAAAGAGACTTGCTCTGTAATGAACCACATGCTGTCTCTGTCCTGGGAGTGTTAGATGAGGACATGGTAGAGTCAGCTTTACTCTCTAACTACCCACATGCTGTCCCTGTCCTCAGAGTCAGGACGGTGTAGAAATAGTTTTACTCTGAATCTAACCCTGTGCAGTCCCTGTCCTGGGTGTGTTTGATGTGGACAGTATAAAGGGAGATTTATTCTGTATGTAACCCTGTGCTGTCCCTTTCCGGGGAGTGTCTGATGGGGACAGTGTTAGAGAGAGCTTTATCCAGTATCTAACCCTGTGCTGTCCTTGGAGTGTTTAATGGGGGACAGTGTAAGTGGGAGGGCTTTACTCTGTATCTAATCCTGTGCTGTTCCTGTCCTGTGTCTGTTGAATGGGGACAGTGCAGAGGGAACTGTATCTAACCACATATACCGCTGTCCTGGGAGTGTTAGATGGGGACATTGTCAAGGGAGCTTTACTCTGCATCTAACCCCATTCTGTCCCTGTCCTGTGGAATGTTTGATTTGGGATAGTCTAGAGAGACTGTTACTCAATATCTAACCCAGTGCTATCCCCATTCTGGTGAGTGTTAGATGGGGACAGTGTAGAGGTAGCTTTACTCTGTATCTAACCCTGTGCTGTCCCTGACCTGGGGAGTCTCGGATAGGGACAGTGCTGTGCTTATGATGAACTTCAGTGACAGGAAGAACATTTCCCATCAAGTGAAACCTCTTAATGCTCAAGAATAAAAACAGAAGTTGCTGGAAAAGCTCTGCAGGCCTGGCAGCACCTGTGAAGAAAAAAATCAGAGTTAATGTTTCGGGTCCGGTGACCCTTCCTCAGAACACCTTCCTCAGTTCAGAGGAGAGGTTCACTGGACCTGAAACGTTAACTCTGATTTTTTCCTTCACAGATGCTGCCAGACCTGCTGAGCTTTTCCAGCAACTTCTGTTTTGTTCCTGATTTACATCTTTGGGTTTTTCCCTAACGCTCAGGCTGTTGGTATGGATGTGTTCCGTCGGTTTCTACACTAACTGCTGCACTGTGCGTGTGTCTCTCTGCAGTGGAGGTTTATAACTGTGAGGTTGGGAGATCTGACTGTTCTGCTTGTTGGGGCCGAGTTGACCGTGGTCACCAGTGTGTCTGGTGTGCGAGCACAAGAAGCTGTAAACTACAGACTGAGTGTAAACCGATCGAGATGACCTGCCCTGCTCCTAAGCTTCAGCAGGTGAGTAATTCCTGACACGTCACGCTCTGCCCAGACCTTGCTGTGGATTCCTTTGTTAATCACATCTCCCTCACCATCACTGAATCCCCCATGGTCCCTGCCTGGCAGGTACCATTGACCAGAAACTGAACTGGATTCACAATGTACAGTGGCCACATGAGAGGGTCAGAATACTGCAGGGAGGAACTCACCTCCTGACTCCCCAAAAACTGTCCAAGGCACAAGTCAGGAGTGTGATGGGATACTCCCCACTTGCCCTGGATGGGTGCAGCCCCAACAACACTCAAGAAGCTCAACACCATCCAGGACAAAGCAGCCGCTTGATTGGCACCACATCCACAAGCATCCGCCCCCTCCACCACCGACACTCAGTAGCAGCAGTGTGTACTATCTGCAAGATGCACTGCAGAAATTCACCAAAGATCCTCAGACAGCACCTTCAAACCCACGACCACTTCCATCTAGAAGGACAAGGGCAGCAAATACATGGGAATGCCACTGCCTGCTTGTTCCTCTCCAAACCACTCACCATCCTGACTTGGAAATATTTTGCCATTCCTACACTGTCGCTGGGTCAAAATCCTGCAATTCCCTCCCTAAGGGCAATATGGGTCAATGGAGGACTGCAGCTGTTCAAGAAGGCAGCTCACCACCACCTTCTCAAGGGGCAACTAGGGATGGACAAGAAATGCTGGGCCAGCCAGCGGTGCACACGTCCCAGGTGTGAATTTTTAACTGTGAAGTTTTGAGCTAGCTCTGGTGAAATGCAAGCCTGTCAGTGAGGATGAGGCTGACTGACTGCTGGGTGTCTTTCAGATAGAGCCACTGACTGGTCCTGTGGTTGGAGGGACCCTCCTCACAATACGAGGCCAGAACCTGGGCCGTAGGTTCAGCGACATTGCCAAGGGCGTGCGCATTGGTGAAGTGGCATGTATCCCTGTTCAGGACAGCTACATCATCTCTGAGCAGTGAGTAAATCAGTTGGTGACTGTGGATTTCACAAATCCTCTCTCTCAGCTCTGGATGGTTGGTGTGCATGTGTATGTGAGTGTGTGCACATGTGTGTGCATGCGTGTGTGTTTGTGTATGTGTGTGCATGTGAATGCACATGTATGTGCATGTGTGTGTGTGCGCATGTATGTGTGTGTGCACATGTATGTGTGTGTGTGCATGAGTGTGCCTCTGTGTATGTGAGAGTGAGTGAGAAAGGGAAAGAAGTAGGGCCTGAGGAGAAGGAGCTGTGAGGTGTTATGGATTGGATGGAGGGGCTATGATGGTGAGAGAGATTTGGGAAAGGGTTGAGAGAAATTCTTTGCCTTTCTGCTGCCTGTTTGTATTCCTTTCTGCAGGATTGTGTGCAGCACGAATGGAGCTAATCAAGAGTTTACAGATTCCGTGACAGTGAAGGTCCAGAAGGAAGGTCACTCCAGCCAGAAATTCTCTTTCCTGGTAAGTCTGATGTTCTGCTTCCACCGCAGCACTTTCGCATGTAACTCCCTCAGATCTCAATGTTCTCTATCTGCTACACCAGCCAGGAGGGTAATGTCAGAAAGCATGAGAACTGAATGATTATCATTTGGAAGGACAGAACTTGGATTTTATTGATAAAAGACGTTTTGGTTTTGCACAAATCAGGACAATTCACGCAAAATACCAATCCCACCAGGAAATAACAGTCATATTGTTTAAGAGGAGAGTGTTCTTTGTTATCATGGTGAATGCATCAGTTAATGATGACTGACAGTCAACTGCCAAGCTTGAAGCTGAAGAACAGAGAAACCTTGGTATTGAGATGGTGGATAGTGGCAGTTTGTTCTTTGCTTTGCAGAGAAAGGAGCAAACTCCAAGAAATTGTTAAAATTATTGGAAAAGGTGACGTATACTAACAAAAACAAAGCATGGAAACATAAAATGTTGTTATTCCTCAACGTAAGTTGACATTTTGTGTTTTGTTTTTGTTTGGATGTTATTATTTATATGTTTATTAGTTTTGAAAAGAAAGAGTAGGGTAATCTGTAATTATCTCATAGGTTTTGCTGTTTGTAACTAGGGAATTGATAGTGGTTATATGTAAATTGTGGAGTAATTAGATGAGTATGGGGAAGTAGCTCTTGTGGTGTAATAACACTGTCCCTACCACCGAGCCAGGAGGGCTGGATTCAAGTTCCTCCTCCTCATAACCTTTCATAGCAGGTTGTAGGCAGGGATCAAGCAAACCAAATTATTTTATTTTGTAGCCTGTCCTGTTGTGGGTTGAAATTAAACTCTGAGCTGAGAGTGTGTGGTTGGACTCTGTCTAAATAACATGTAACATCTGGTGTTGGCAGTGATGGCCTGGCTTGTATCTGGGCAGATTACATTAATCAGAAACAAGGACAGAGAGGCTAAAGGATTTCTGGGATCCTGAAGGGAGCAAAACAAGGCTGTAGTCCAGATGGTGAATTGGAGCCATGAGGAGTCAGTAGGCTCAATCGGCTGGACGGCTGGTTTGCAAGGCAGAGTGATGCCAACATTGTGAGTTCAATTTCTGCATCAGTTGAGGGCACCGTAAAGGACTCTCCTTCTCAACCTCTCCTCTTGCCTGAGGCATGGTGAGCCTCAGGTTAAACTGCCAACAGTTGTCTCTCTCGCTCTGTAATGAGAGAGTGGTCTTCAAACCTGTTATGATAGTGGTGACTTTCCGAATGCAGACTGGAATCTAAGCGAGGGGCTCATCAGATGATGAGCTCCAAACTTGCTCAAAAATATTCTACTCTGTGTTTCTTTCCTGCTTAAAGTATCATTTTATTTTATTAAACTGAACAATAGCAATCAATTTATTAGAAATGAGAAGTCCTTATGCATTGCTTCATTTAGTTTAAAATTAAACTGCTCTCTAGGTAGTCAGGATTAATCCTACTGGTTCATTGGTGCAATAAATTTGTCTCTGAATTGGTCCGCCACACCACTGTGAAACTCACAGCTGTTCAGAATGCAAGGGATCAACTTTAATGTTGCCGTTGTTCCATCTAGACATGTTTCATCCTATCCAAACTTAAATACTGATGACTAATTTCTCATCATTCACGTCTTCTTCCTCACTTCATGAGACAACAGGTTCTAATAATTACCTTGACACAGCATTGTTCAGAAACTGACCCCATTCAACATCGCTAGATGCGTGTCCCAGGTCCCCCTCTGCAATGGCTTTCAGTCTGTAATTTTCCTGATCTCCCTTTTTCCAGACTGAGCTCAACCATAATGAGGGAGTCTTATTTTTGTAATTCTTCTCTTCTTTAACTGCCAGGTCCTCTCTACAGGCCCAGTTCAAGTAAATTTGCCATAGCCCCACAGGGCCACATTCGAGAGGACATGTTGTGATTTAACCTTGAGGGTCACACCACCTCAGGTGAGGGCTGAGTTTGAGAAAGTTCGATATTCATGGTGCCCTCAACTGGGGTGGGAACCAAGCACAAGCAGTTGGCATCACATAGCTTTAAAAACCAGTCATCCAGCTAACTCAGCTAGCTGATTTCCTTTTCTGGTCTGTAACTCACTCCTGTACAAACATTTCCCTTCCTCCTTTCCAAGAACCTCTTGATTAATTTCTAGTCTGTAACTCACTCCCAGGCATCTGCTATTCCATATATAAACCATCCCAAATGCCTCAATTAGATTCCAATCTGTAACTCACTCCTGAGTACCTGTTATTCCATATATAAACCACCCCAAAGGCCTGGATTAGATTCTAGTCTGTACCTCACTCCTGGGTATCTCTTATTCTGTATATAAACCACCCTGAATTAGATTCCATTCTGTAATTTACTCCTGGGTATCTGTTATTCAATATATAAGCTCCCCTGAACCCCTCGATTAGATTCCAGTCTGTAATTCACTCACGGTTATCTGTTATTCTGTATATAATCCCATTTTTAGGTTCCAGCCTGTAACTCCAGGATATCTGTTATTCTACATATAATCCACCTGAACCCCTCAATTAGATTTCAGTCTGTAATTCAATTCTGTCTTTTTCTCTGAAGCCTTTGTTTGATTCAGTAGTTTTGTTCACTCTGGAATATTCTCTGCTTAAATCTTTAATTCCCGGCCCAATTTATTGTGAAGCTTGCGTTATAGATGTTGTGAAATTTGGCAGCAGGGAGGCCTGCCCTATGGGATGTGGAGATTGCTAATTGTGGACTGGAGGATTGTGGAAGTTTCCTGTTGGACCTGCTCTGCTGTTAGAGTCTGATTTGAACCAAGGAACATTCCAGGACATGGACAAAGGGAGAGAGCTCTCAGTGGAAATCCCAGAATAACCCAGGAAGCAAAACAGGAAACAGCTGCATACTGAGCTGTGGGGATATCTGACTTAACCCAGCTTCTGTAAAAGGAATTGCTCCATTGTCTATGCAAAATCGACCACCCTGGAGCATGGCTGTAAATTGTCATTTCATCACCCAGAGTGTGAGAGTGGATAAGGAGCGAGCTGCTAGGCAACATTGCACCCTGTCTGTCACAGTCAGAACCTATGCTGGGTACAGCGAATGATCCTACTTCCAAATATCCTCATTAATGCATGGATCCAGCCAGGACGATTGGACTAGGCCTGAGGGATGGACATTGGGCTGGGGGTTGGAGACTGGGCTGAGGAATGGACACTGGTCTAGGAGACGGACACTGGGCTGGGGAAGGGATACTGATCTGAGGAATGGACATTGGTTTGGGGGGTGTAGACTGGTCTGGGAGAAGGACACTGGTCTGAGGGATGGGTACTGGTCTGGGGGTATACACTGGCCTGAGAGATGGACACTGGGCTGAAGAATGGACACTGGTCTGGGTGTTGGATGCTGGTCTGGGTGTTAGACACTGGTCTGGGTTTTCGACACTGGTTCTGACGGTGTGGTGGGGTTAGACACTGGGCTGACAGTAGGGTGGTCTATGAACACTGAGGCAATGAGGTGGGATAGCTGCTGCATTTTGGGAAGTGTGTCATCGTTGTACACTCTGTGTTAGTGGAGACACAGAGTTATCCTGAACAATGTTATCGTTGCCTTTACTGTCTGACATGACACTGTCTTTCCACAACGATAGCCTGCCTAGTGATTTGTTATTGGGTTTGATGGGATGTAAAGAGACTAATGTGGATTGTACTTTAGCCTCTCATTTTGTTGGTCTTGATCCTGGGCAGCTTCCAGAGATTGACACACTTTATCCAGATCAAGGACCCAAAGCTGGGGGCACCACGATTACCATCAACGGCATTAACTTACACATCGGTTCTGTCCTGAAGGTCCTTGTCAATGGCTCAAAGGATTGTACAAGTTTAAAGTAAGTGATACAAATGTCATTAACCTTGGGAAAATAGCTGTTCCTGTCTCCTCCTTGCATTCGCGTGCTGGACGTTGAAACATATCTGACTGGGTGGGAGCAACTGAAGAGGTGGTGAGGACCACTTTTATAGTGGCATCCATTTGTATTTCTGTTTAAGCTTCCATTGGGAGTTGTGTCCCTCAACAGCAAAGTGTGTTTATATAGCACACAGGATTATAGAGTCGTACAGCACAGAAACAGGCTCTTTGGCCCAACTCATCCATGCAACCAGGTTTCCTACACTGAACTAGTCCCATTTGTCTGTGTTTGGCCTATATCCCTCTAAACCTTTCCAGTCCATGTACTTGTTCCAAATAATGCTGTAATTGTACTCACCTCTACCACTTCCTCTGGCAGCTCGTTCCACGTACACAACCACCCTCTATATGAAAAATTGTACCTCAGGGCCATTTCAAAACTTTCCCCTCTCAACTTAAACCTATACCCTCTAGTTCTGGACTCCCCAACGCTGGGCAAAAGACCTTGGCTATTCACCCTATTCCATGCCTCCCGTGATTTTATAAACCTCTACAAGGTCACCTCTCAGCCTCCTACACTCCAAGGAGAAAAGTCCCAGCATATCCAACCTCTCCTTATGACTCAGATCCTCCAGTCTCGGTAACATCCTTGTAAATCCGTTTTGCACCCTTTCCAGTTTAATGACATCCTTCCTATGGCAGGGCGACCGGAATTGTGTGCAGTACTCCAAATGTGGCCTTACCAATATCTTATAAAGCCACAACACGATATCCCAACTCCTGTCCTCAATGCTCTGACTATTGAAGGCAAGCGTGCCAGGCAACTTAGATATCTTAGCGAGTTGTGGGGCTGGAGGAGACTGCAAAAACAGGGAGGAGCGAGGCTGGAGGAAGGTGCAGACGTCGATGACATAAAAGAGAGGACTAGAAGAGGTGCGAATGGGCAAGGATCTGAATAGTGGCAGTACACAGCAGGGAGAAAGGGAATGTTTAAAATAAACAGTAAAGAAAAATGCCAGCAAAGGAAAATGAATCCAAATGTACGACATAGTTGGTGATCTGAAATGACTGACTTTGATATTGAACCCAGAAGGTTGTTAAGTGTTTAATTGAAAGCTGAGGTGATGCTCCTTAAGTTTGCATTGGGCTTCACTAGAACAACGCAACAGACCAAGGACAGAGATGTTAATGTGAGGGCAAGGTAGAGAATTAAAATGATAGGGCCAACCTGAAACTCGGGGCTGTGTTTGCAGTCTGAATGGCGGTGTCCCATAAAACATTACCCAGCCTGTGTTTGGTTTCTCTAACGTAGAGGAGATCGCATTGGGAGGAGGGAATAGACTAGATTGAATGAAGCACACTTAAACCATTGCTTCACCTGGAAAGGAACGTTTGGAGCCTTGGGCAGTGAGGAGAAAAGAGGCCAAACGATGTCATCTCCTGTGATTGGATGAAAAGCTGCTGCGGGAGGAGGTGATGAAGGAGTGAACTGGGTTATTTGGCCTGATCGATTCCCATGGAATGCTCACAAGGGAGTGGAGGGGCAGATGTGTTTGGTGGTGGCATCCCATTGGACCTGGAGGAAATGGAGGAGGACAATTCTTATGAAGAGGCTAAGGGGAAACCGGGGGCAGAGGGAGAGGGGGACTATCAGTGGGAAATGAGTCTATCACTCAGAGCAAAGGAGAATCTCCACATCCCCCCGCAATTTACCCGAGATCGGAGCAGTGCCTATTCAGCAGATACCCCTCCTATCGGCTCCCTAGTGACCCACAATTCGAAAAAGTCAGTACTAACTCCCTCCTCAAACTTTATCCTTAGCTATCAACTCAGCTCTTAAACACCTGCTGATCTCTCCCTTACCAAAGCTACCTCAGTTCAAACTCTGTTACTATAAGCTACAGAGAAGACAGCGACGTTTTCAAACTGGTTTGCAATCACAGTCCCACATTCCCTTCTGAGGAATCCAGTCCCCTTCCAAGATGGGATCCAAGGGCTTCAGTCATGCTCCACAAATAAGGTCTTCTCTGACCTGACAACCATCTTTTACTGCATCGATCTTTCCAATGGAGCTCCAGCCCCTTCCCAGGACTGAGGATTTGATCTGGAGCTCCAGTTGTGCCAGATCAGTGATGGCGAGGATCTGATCATTTCTCCATCTCTTTGTTCAGACGGACAGGGAGGTCGATTGTCTGTGTGATGCCACCATTGCCCGCTGCTGAGTCTGCTGTTCCGATATGCGTGCAGTTTGAGAAGAAGCATTGCATCAGGAAGAACCTGACCTTCTGGTACAGGGAAAACCCATTGATTGAAAGCATTAGCCCCAACACCAGCTATGTCAGGTAAGAGAGGAGTATGTGGAGATGAAGTTGTTGGATTCACGGCTCAGATTCAACATCCAATATGCCTCTGAAAGACACCCTCATAGTGGTTGACCTGTTCCTATCAAACTCTCCGACTCCATCGTACCAGGCCACTTGCAGCATGACATGCTGTTGGATTTGTGTTACTGCTTAGAACTGAAGCATGATTTCAGTTCTAGGCCAGAGACTTGTGGCTGTAGTGCAGAAAGATGCCAGGGGCCGTCTTTAAATACCTATGAACCTTTCAGGATTTTGTTCACCTCCCACTCACAGGGGCTAAATGTAAAGTTGTTCTCATTTGGGGACAATGATTGTCCACGTAGGGCAAATGAGATCAGGGTTAACAGCACTGCGTGATTATAAAGAAACGTCTCCCACTAGGAGCTATCACAGCAGAGGCATCGGAATGTTGTCTCTGTATTTGCAGCCCTGTATTGCTAGCTCGCCATTGATGCAGTTTTCTGTTGCTCATCTCACCAGGTACCCTGAATGTTTTGTCCGAGAGTAGCTCTTTTCCACCCACGAGGGTTTGGGGGCATTGGAGGGTGTCCTTGTTCGGGAGGTGGGTGGGGGGCGTGAGGTAGTTGTTGTATTTGTAACCCTTCGCTGTTGTAACCTCCTCCTTTGTCCCACAGTGGCGGAAGGCGAATTACAGTCACTGGACAGAGGTTCTACTTAGCTCAAACCATCCACATGGTGATTGAAGACAGTGGGAAAGCACAGTCAGTGAGTTTCTAACCCTGTCTGTAAGTGAACAGCCTCAGCACAAGCCAGGATTGACACAGCCAGGGTTCAGTTGGTTAAAGTTTGGGTTAAATATGGTTGTGGTGCTGCCAACCTACATCGTGTGCTTTCAATGGAAGGGTTTATTTTAAGAACGTGCCTATATGGGTCCAGAATGTTGTTTAAAGGAACTGTTTTGTACTTCAGTGCTTTAGTGGGGCAGTGGCTAAATAATGGGGTTTCATTTACATCAAATAGTGTTTTTATTAATAGACGGACTGTGATCGACAGGGACAGGGAGGGGTCTCTTGTGGCGTCCGTACCTCTGAGCCAGAAGGCCTGGGTTCAAGTCCTACCTGTTCCAGATGTGTGCCGTAACATCCCTGAACAGGAACAGTGATGAGAAAAGACCTAGACAGGGAGAGAGGGGCATTGATGGAGACAGAGGGGTGACTGATAAACAGGAGGGGAATACTGACTGTGAGAGGAGGTGGATACTGACGGAGAGAGAGGGGGTGGATACTGACGGAGAGAGA